ATTATAAATTATATTTTGTTTTTTTATAAAAAATAATGTAGAAGTATTAAAAAAGTAAAAATTGCGAGTTATTTGGTACATTCTAAATTCTTTTAGATTTTTATTATACTATATTTTAGTTTTAACATAATTGTAAATAAATTTTCTTAATTTTCTTGATTTTATCAATAAATTCAATTACTGCGGAAAATTAGAGAGCTTGATAATTTGGAGAATCGATTTTCGCCAGGCACACATACAATGAGAAATCTTCGATAATATCATCCGATCGATAAAACACGCTATCAGCAACTGATGAATCTGCTCTTATGCTTTCCCTTTTGCGTTCCTGGTGGACGATCGAATGACCTACTTGTTAATTGTCGACAGGCGGGTCCACGCTCTAATTAACAGCAAAAACCGATATAGTATTAAGTAATTTACTATCGACTTCCGATCAATAATATGCAGAGTAAAAAACCGACTCGTAATTGATAAAATGTTTCAATATCCATTTGTAATGCTCTTTGCTGAATTGAAAAAATTTATAAAGAGAGAAATAAAAGTCTTTTTATTTTTAGACAAGTTTTATATTTTCCGTTAATGTTTCAATCAAACAAAATAGATTAAATCGAAATTATAATAAGGCCTACACAAGAACAATGAAACAAGAGATGTCGTGTGTTTCAAATAGAAAAATATGACATCCGTCATTACATCATGATTACATTTACAGCTGACAAACCATTTTATGTGTCAAATGCAATTTCCAAGTTCAAGCCCAGGCGCAGGAAAGCAAACTAACAGGAAGATCGTCCAATTATTCGACATCGCCTCGATGATGTTAATTGTTTTAACAAATGAAATCGCACCGTAAAAAAAATGCGCGATCTCACTCGAATAATTTTGTTCGTTCTAAAAATTTCGCAATTTTTTTCATCGCATGATAAAAAACTCCTCTTCTGAAAGAATGAAGATCATCACATTTACCACTCGATATGAAACTCGCGTTCTGTTTTCGCGCGCTAATTCTCATGCTATTGGCAATTATAAGCGTGATTATTTAAACAAAATAAAAATTCCAGCATTCGTGTATCGATAGTGATATATTAATTATGTGAGAATCGTATAATGCGCGTGCACATTACATTCGCGCGAAAATTAATTCGTCGAGATATCGTGGCAGTGCTTGCCGCAAAGGACGTGATAAATAGCTCGATGTAGATAAATTTCGGTTTACTCAACCTACTGTATTAATTAAACGCAATGCGATTTCTCGCGATGCATTATCCTTTCACTCATTTTCAAGCAGTTACGTTCTAGATAACTAATTTTTCGTCAGATCACTATATTAATTTGACGTATCAAATTGTTACCAATAAATTATTTATTCTCGTAATTATATATTAATTTTGTATAGTATGTTATAAGGCTAAAATCTGCAATTCCAAACCGTGTATAATGACCTATTTCGCTTTCGTGCTTTATCCCTCGCATGTCTGAGCAAACGTGTTAAAATTTATCACTATGTGAAAATTAATTCCACGAAAGTTCGTTACACATACGGATTTTGTAAATCGTTGAGTGTGCAAAGATTGTAGAATTGAGGAAAGATTTGTCATCAAGTAAATCCTCTCGTGTGCAAATCATTCAAGCGAAGATTATCGAGTAATATGTTGATTGCTATTCAGGGGTACAATTTCAAGTTCGTGAATCATTTCCTGTATTTATTATTACGTCGTTTGGCATTGAACGATTTTGTTCGTGTTATATCTACATACGGAAGTAGCTTTTTATGATAATATCAATATAATTATTGTTTCAATTACGCGTATGTGGATTACGTGTATAATACGCATTATATTTATAGCTGTTTATCATGAAATAAATAAGATGCATTATTTCCTGTTTTTCCTAAGATTAAAATTGAAACTGGGTTTATAAAAGTAACTGTGATAAAAACGGAACGGTAAATGTGTAATCCGTATTTTAATTGAATACATAATAATGTATAGAAAAAAAGAAAGAAAATTTTAAACATAGATCTCGATTGATATTAATTCAA